TTTTTTTCTAAGACAAGCAAACAAATATTTTACTTACATCAAAGTTCATATACAAATGGCTGATCTAATGATCAAAAGACCCTAGGATAATACAACATTAACCTAGTGACTACGAGGAAGAAAAGACTTCGAATCGATTTTCGTATGGTCGAGTTGGTCCATCGAATCCATTCACTTTTTCTTTGTAAAATTAGTTAGTTATATTATTGATATAAGTAGCATACATATTTACATATATTTAAACATGTTTAAATTATTATAGCAAGAAATCTAGAGATTTGAATGTTTCAAATTATTTAAATATTTAACGAAGAATATTTTTTATCTATAGTTTGTTACATAAAATATTATATATATATATATATATATATATATATTTTTAAATATTCATATACTAAATATCTATCAAATCGTTTCAATTATTAATCCGTCCAATGAAATGATGAACCACTAGTGACGGGTTAAACAAGTATCCGAAGTCTAATGACTTTGTAATTGACTAGGAGACCTCCAATTGATAAAAACCCTTTTTATTTATCTCCAATGGTTAAAACTTAAAAATAAAAGTCCTCAGATTCAACTCGCAATTGAATCGCATTCAAACTATACTTTGGTACTTACCACTTACCAGTAGTATGACTAATTGCACTTTGTCCACTCCCAATATATATATATAAATAATAATAAAAGTAAAGTAAAATAAAATTAAACCCCAAATCCACCAAATAATAAATAAATACCCCCAAATCCCCTCTCTCTCACTCCAAAAAATTTCCCCCACAGATCAAAAATCAATTAACCACCCCAATTACCCCACCGGCCACCACCACCGCCGCCCGCTGCAATCACCGATGGGAAAGGGCGGCGCTCTCTCGAACGGCGTGGTGAAGAAGATCGTCCTCTCCTACACCTACGTCGCCGTCTGGATCTTCCTCTCCTTCACCGTCATCGTCTACAACAAGTACATCCTCGACCGGAAGCTCTACAACTGGCCCTTCCCCATCTCCCTCACCATGATCCACATGGCCTTCTGCTCCTCCCTCGCCTTCGCCGCCGTCCGCATCTTCAAGCTCGTCGAGCCCGCCGCCCTCACCCGCCACGTCTACCTCACCTCCGTCCTCCCCATCGGCGCCCTCTACTCCCTCTCCCTCTGGCTCTCCAACTCCGCCTACATCTACCTCTCCGTCTCCTTCATCCAGATGCTCAAGGCCCTCATGCCCGTCGCCGTCTACTCCATCGGCATCCTCCTCCGCAAGGAGTCCTACCGCCCCAACACAATGCTCAACATGCTCGCCGTCTCCGCCGGAGTCGCCGTCGCCGCCTACGGCGAGGCCAGGTACGACTCCTTTGGCGTCCTCCTCCAGCTCGCCGCCCTCGTCTTCGAAGCCACCCGCCTCGTCCTCATCCAGATCCTCCTCACATCCAAAGGCATCAATCTCAACCCAATCACCTCTCTCTACTACGTCGCCCCAAGCTGCCTCGCCTTCCTCACAATCCCATGGCTAATTATGGAATTCCCCCTTTTGAGGCGGCAATTAGGTTTCCGATTCGATTTCCTGATTTTCGGAACCAATTCCCTGTGCGCGTTCGCGCTCAACCTCGCCGTGTTCCTCCTTGTGGGGAAGACGTCGGCGCTGACCATGAACGTGGCCGGCGTCGTCAAGGATTGGCTGCTGATTGCCTTCTCGTGGTCGGTGATTAAGGATACGGTGACGCCGTTGAATTTGTTTGGGTACGGATTGGCTTTCCTGGGTGTGGGTTACTATAATCACACCAAGCTGCAGGCGCTCAAGGCCAAGGAGGCGCAGAGGAGATCTCAGCCGTCGGATGAGGAGGCGGCCGCTAAGCTGATGGTGGAGAGGGAAGGGGATGGGATGGGGAAGAAAGGAGATTTGCAGGCTTGAGTGGTTTTTAGAATTTTGGGGGAAAAAAATTGAAAGAAAATATTTTTGTTTTGTTTAGTCAGTAAAAGATAAAAAAAAATGAAAATTGTTTTTAAATTGGAATAAATAATATCTGGGTGGAGGAATGATGACCGGATTTGATGTGCATTTAGCCAGCTTGTTTGTTTGGACGGACTAGATAGGAATAGGATTGAACCACCTAAAACGGGTCAATAATACGGTCGTTGGCCAAGATTAATTTGTCATGGAATCATATCCAACAATATCCCTCATTCACGGGATATAAAATTATTAGTCATGGAATCGCTTTTTTAATTTTTTGTTGTAGTTGAACATTGAAATTCATCTGAATCAACTCCCATGGCCGAACAGACGGGAAAAAGACGCAACTGTTGGGTTGACGTCTATTCTGGCAATATATACATTTTTTTTATTTGATGGCAAATTAGACTATATACATTTGTATCCCATGACTTATCAAGTGAAGCAAATATGATGATAGTCACAACAAATACAAATTTAATTTAATCTATACACTATAATCCATCCACCACATATTTATTTAATCCTATCCCGTACTTGCAAACAAACGAGACCTTGATGGATCCGGGAGCTCGACAGTAAGCCTTTAAACAATAGATATCTGATGTGCGACCGATGAACTTATTAGTAAGAAATCTGACGGCCAAGAAGTTTAGTCATTATAAGAGCAGATTTACTGGGTTTTATGTATTAGTTAATTCATTAGCCAGAAGATAAATAAGTTCACTTTCATTCTGGTTGTTGGCATTTAAATTTTTAAAGAAATAAATTGTTGTCCTTGTATGTTGGTTTTAACACCTTGTGTTTGAATCTCATATGCAAGTTCCAATACGTTGGAAACATGTTGCAAGCTGACATTTTAATTCTGCACTTTGTGTGAGTATTGAGTTAATATTGCTTTGACATTTTATTGGTTTGTGCGAAATACTCATGTGAATGGCTTTAGGCCACCCTTAAAATGGTCTACCATTTCCTTCAAATGAGGGGCTGTCGGTTAGTATAGTATTGCACAGCCTGTGGAAAATAATTAACCCAAAATAAAAGGGAAAATGACATATTTTGCTTCGTACTTTGACTCAGATCTAAAAATAATTGGTCAAATGTAAAATTGTTAAAGACTTGCACATTTGAAGTGATAAAGACACACTAATTATATAATTTGCTATACCTATGTTATATATCTATATATATATATATATATATATATATATAATGTAGTTCAAATGAGAACCAAGTTTTAACTTAAGACATGATACATCGACAGATCTGCAGTTTTGGAAGTACAACTTTCTGCACCCATTCGCCATTGGTCTCTGCAACCTGGGCCACACTGTTATGTATACTATTTGTCAATCTAGATTAAAGGGTTGACCCATAATAATGTATTTTCCTGAGGGTTACATCGGCACTCCATGCTCCTCAGTTTCATATCGACACCTATCGCTAATGGTCGAAGTCCCGATTTCAACATCGGTCATATAAAGCTTCTTCATGTCGATCTCATTTCAAACAAAGCTTTTTTCGTGTCGATCTCACCACCTTATATGAACAGGATTGCCGCACACGAGCCAGATATGTCTTGTCCTCTAAAAATAAAATACGTGCTGCCACTAATTACCTTGAATGCAACTGACCCCTCAGACGCGTGCCGCGTGTTCAATGACTTATCAACAAGCCATGATGGTGTAACCTTCACACAGAACACAAGAAATGACCTTCACAAGAAAAATTGTAATTTTTCTTTTTACTCAGTATAAATTATAATAACATTCACAAGACTAAACCACGAAAAATATACGAGAAATTACACAAACAACACAAGATACACCTACACAACCCAAGCGTGTAAACTTAATAAAAGCAATCATTTATACAATAATTCGAGTTATGTTGTTCTTAATTGCATTTATTTCTTGTTCTGTTGTTGATTTCTTACATCAACAAATAGTATACCATCTAATTGCATATGGGACATTTCTTGATTTATTTTTTTATTTAAGTCATAGACATTAGGTACAAGTTTGGTAGTTGACTTTGCATATGGCCGGCTATGGCTGACTCTGGCTTTTGCTTATATTGGTCTGCACCCAATTTCAGGACATCTATGTATTGCACTTGTCATAATAAAAACAGCTGACTTAGAGGGATTGAAAGGCATCTTTATGTGTATATTTCAAATTAAATGTTTGTTTATATTACTTATTTAGCATCTATATATATATAAAGAATTGATTATTTTTTAAATATTAACTATTTTCCTAAAAAAAAAAAAAAACTATTTACTATTTTGGAAATTAATTTAACAATTTATGGTATATTTCAAATAATCACTTATGAAAATTGCGGTTTATTATTTAAAGAAATAATTAAGCCATATAAATATTTATTTCTAAGACACCTTAATTACTCAAATTAATTTAACAATTTAGAGTACATTTCAAATAATCACTTATGGTAATTTATTTTTAAGATAACTTAATTACTCAAATCATGTGAATTGGATGGTTTACCCAAATATGAGAATTTCGGCTGCAATATCAATTATGTATTTTGGTAAAAAAAATCCAACTAAATTGTATAATTTATTGTTTAATAAGTGTTTTATATTTTTCGTGTAATTCTTTTGTGAAATACATTTTTAATATATCTTAATTACGCAAATTGTGTAAATCTGACTAATTTATTCAATTTGTAAATAATTACTACAATTATGGAAATACCGACAACAGTAATTAATTATGCAGTTTACAAAAACTGTTTTAAAAATTTTGTGTTAATGAAATTTTTTATTTATATATTATTTAATAAATGTTTTTCATTTTTTGTGTATTTAATTGCTCAAATCAGGATAATTAAGGAAATCATTAGACAATAAAATATTATATTTTTAAGATACCCTAATTACGCCAATTGTGTAAGTTCGGTTGATTTATTCAATTATAATTTGTTATAAATTATTCTAAAATAATTATATTAATGGCAGTTTCTATTTAATTATTTTTAATAACTATTTTTAGGTCTTTTTTATTTTGTCTATAATAAACGTGAGTCTTGATTTTGTTTTGTATGCTGGGCAATTAATTTCGTGGTTAAACTGAATATTATTTTTTATATTTTATCGATAATGTATGAGATCGAATTATTTGGTATACTATATATTGATCCAATATACCTACTTATGATAGTAAATGGTATATCAATATATTTTTTTTCATATTGCTAAGCACTTTACTCGATATTAATGAAAGAAAATTTTGGATAATACTATTTTCGATTCTTCTTTGTAAATGTGCGTGGAACATATCAAATTATTTGGTGTGTGTGTGTGTGTATATATATATATATTTATAAAGGCTCGTTTTAACTTAAATCACATTGTAGTCAAATCGAATTTATAAATAAGAACTTTAAAATGACATCTATTTTTGAAATGTATATAATGTAACTTATTGTTAGTTATTTGCACCGTACGGGTCATGAACTAATTTTAAATAGACATGTTTTATGTAATTTTACACAATTTAAATTTCATATAACATTTTCAACAAAATAATATAGATAAATTGTATTACATATTGGTTCCATATTTCTAATTTATACATATTATTTAATGAGCATTTGTAATTTATAAATATTAATGAATATTTCTTACTCGTGAATCGCACGGAATTCATACTAGATTAATAAATACTAGTTTAATAAATAATGGGGTCTCGTTTTTCCTGGCCTGTAATAATGTAGAAGCTTGTTCTTGTGTTAAAAACTCATCTGATTCCTGAACTTTTTCCGGATCTTGTGCGGTGGAGTATAAATCATGAGTGGGAGGCGATGTCTTCTTCACACCTAACTTAGAAATTGACTGCTAAAAATAACAGGTAAACTTTACTTTCGTCCTGGTTTTGAGAAATTGTTCCACTAATTTAACAAATTTGAGTTCAAAAGAACATTGATATGCTGTAAAAAAGTCATAAAACACTTGATTTTGTACTAGAAAATGTTAGTGTGAGATTAAAAAATACTGTTGGATACTTCATTTGGTGGGAGTGGGACTTAATTTTCAGAATATAGTAGAGGTTGGGATTTATAACAAAGAAATAAACTAACCCAATATGTAGAGTCCAGTGGGCTGTGTCTTACCCAAGTAGCCCATTACTCAGTTGTAGGTGAGGCACTTTTGTGATCCACTTGCATTCAAAATTATTTATTGAGATATATTTGGTACATAAATAAAATTCTTTCTATATATAATTTCAAAACGTGTTGAGCTTTAGAGCCAAACCCGCACACTTCATAATCTTATTCGGCACAATTATATGTTTTCGATTGGCACGTAATTCAGGCTCGATTGACATCTAGGCATTGTAATTACCGTAATATATTATAAAAGATATTTTTAGTATTTCCTTTTTTACCAATGAATCTTATAATAATATCTTTTATTTTTATTTCTTCCTTATTTATGGAGTTTTTTTTTTTCTTTTGATAATGTCAATGATTAAATTGCAAGATGTATTCCTATTCAAATCATNGACTCATATCTTATATATTTTATGAAAAAATAAGCTTAGATCTAATCACCTTCTTGCGCTGTTTTTTAAGACCATGTGACATCAATGCTATTTTGCCAAATTATTTAGTACATTTGACATTTTTCATTGCTTTGTAGATTTATAGGATTTTTTTATTATTGCAAGATCTTTAAAATTTATCATCTATTTTGTTATTATTATTACCAACATAGTTAATATAAATATTTTATCTTATGATTTTTCTATAATTCGCATTGTGATACCAAAAATCTTTCAATTAAATAACATCTTTCTATTTTCTTTGTGTTCGACAAACTGAACTGATGGATCAACAAAAATATTCGATTTCATTAAATCTCATTCTTCGATTGTCTATTTTTTATTTATCATTTTATTCTTTTATTATTAATCATATTATGTTGTATTGAAATGTAGTGTTAATTAGTGATAGAGTGTCAATTAGTCATATGTTGGAGATATTTGTCCTTGTAATAGATATTGGTTAATGATATCAAGTGATAATATAATTTTGTAGTGCACACATGTTTTTGACTTCCTTTTAGTTGGGTTATATGCAAATTAGTTTCGTTTGCCCAGTGTTTTAAATACCGTACCGACAATTATGTTGAATGAGTCATCGGTACGCGGTTTAACCAATTTTACTGTCTATTTTACTGGTTTAAATAAATATTAGTTTAATTTATTATTATGATATAAATAATGTATGAAACCAAATTTAATAAATACTAAAATTGTTTAAAATCTAACAATAATGTAAATATAGTAAAATTAAGTGTAGAAGTTTGTAAATAAATTAATAAAAATATAAAATATTTCTTTTTTTTTTTTTAAAAAAAAAACTCGTATATCATGTATTTTGGCAAAATGGTATTTAGAGGGGGTTACCGTACCAGCCGGAACATCGGTATCCAATATTCATAGTAATACCAGCTTGTACGATACGGTATTTAAAACAGTGTATTTACCTATAAACATTCATTCCAACTTATTTTGTTAGAAAGAGTTTTTTTGTGTGATCTTGAGCATTTGCATGTTGATTATTACAAATTGTGCTATAGTTTAAGTGTATTTAGGTAATTAGCAAATTTGATCTCTTATTTTTATATAATTACTATGGATTTATATTTTATCAGTTTTCTTATGTAATCACTTTAAAATATGTAAATAAATTTAAAATTAACTAGTGTATAAATATTTTACAAAATATACACACATGTTTTTTAGGAATTTAATTTTTTATACTAATTAAACAACTTTGATTTAGCAAATATCAAAGACTCAATTCTTCTATAATCAAGATTTTTCTAATTTGCATTATAGGGATCTATAATATATTTAGCATACTCTGCAATGACAATATATTTTACCAGAATTTTATTATAGAAAGAAATCAAAAAAAAAAAAAAATGATAAAAAGAAATAATTGTGGTTGTCAATAATATACATATAAATTCTAAAGAATAGTCAATATATTTCAATTTAATTTTTAACCATTAGTAAAGCTAGTTAATGTATCTGGTCATTATTTCTTAAATGGTAAATTATATTAATTCGAAGAATAATTTATCTTTTATATATAACAAAATAAATCTTAAGAAAAAAATTTATATTGGCAAAGATTAATTGTCCAACTTAATTTCGCCTGATTAATTGGAAGAAAATTTTTTACTTAACCTGTTACGAGTTCAATAAATATTTTCGGTAAAAATTGAATATTTGTTAAAAAAAAATTAATATTATGGTTAGAACTTAAAATATGTTTGTAATATTTATCTTGACCAAAATATTATCAACATGAATCACGAAAAATCAATATAGTAATTTATTATAATGGAATTAATGAAATTATTGCAGATATTAATAAAATTCTTTAAGGAAACAATATTTTTGATTATATCTGATTTGATCTTATTTGAAAATGTGTATATAGAAGTAATTAATGCACATATTTAAAAAGTTTCCAAAAAAAGTATGCATTAAATGCTTCCAAAATTTTTTACTACTATTTTTAATAAAAGGTTATGCTTATATATATATATAGGGGTTGGTTCAAATAAAAACTAGTCCTGGTGTGAGAACCGTGAGAATCATATTTGATGCTATTTTTAATTGTGTACGATGCTATTTTTAATCTCACATGGTGCTATCATTTTTACAAATACTAACATAAATTGTGTTGCTATTTTTAATAAAATACATCATGATTAAAAATAGCACTAAAATACAATCAATCATAGCACTACATACAATTAAAAATAGCGGTTCTCACGGTTCTCACGCTAGGACTTAGTTCTCATTTGAACCAAATCCTATATATATATATATATAGAGAGAGAGAGAGAGAGAGAGAGAGAATATATATAGAAGATATCCAGAAAACACAGAAAATACAGAATATATACACAAAGCCTCCTCAAAGTCGGGGGCCTTGTTCTTGTCTGGATGGATTTTTAGGGACAACTTTCTGTATGCCTTCCCGATTTCATCCACGGTGCAATTATTTTCCAGGCCTAAAATCGAGTAATAATCCTTTTTAATCCGGATTTGACGGACCATGTGCACGTGCTACTTCGTGTAGCTTCTCTCGACATTCAAAAACATGTCTCCATTGATGGAAGCTTCCTCATCCTTCTCGTCCTTAACACTTTTCTTCACGCCATTGGACGTATTAGAGGAGGAAGACGATGAGTCTAGATTCCCGCACAGAGATAGAAGATCGTCAATAGGTAGATTCTGATTAAGACGGCGTGCGATTTCGAGAAATTTGAGTGCTTTTTGCTTGTTGCCGGCGGCGATTGCCTCCTTGACAATGTTGATGCATCTCACGGCCTCGTCTTTGTTGCTATCCGTAGAGATTTCTTAACAAATTCTGCGATTTTATCTAAAAGAGAAAATAGATCTCAGAAGAGAGAGAAAGTGGTAACGCCATTTGTTGGTATAATTGCAAAAAAAACAAAAAATGATTAGTAAATGTGCAAATAAAACTGTTTTGGATGGTAGTGGGTAATTTTCTCTAATTAAGTTTACACTAAGATGTTTTATTTTAATAAGTAGAACTCAAATTATTAATCAAGGTTGTTCGCAAATAGCTTAATTTAATTAGTAGCACTCACATTATTTCGGCATCTTGAATATGCTTTGCGCTAGAGTCTTCAGGGTCTTCGCTGCTACCGACTTTGGGTTTCTGTGGCATCTTGAATATGCTTTGCGCCGGAGTCTTCATATTCTTCGCTACTGAGGCCCGGCGAGATTGGCTTCCTTTGCCGGATGGCGTCGTGTACTAATAATTTTTGGTAAAAAGAAAGAAAAAGTTATGTAGTGGTGTTCACAAAGTAAAAATTAACTCCAAATAACGCATGGGCCTTCCTCTAGCGCCAAACTGTTGATAAACATATTTGATCAACGAGTTAAAAGTGTTTACAATGGATTTAGTGATGTTTGATTAGGCTAAAAGTGGATATTTGTGGTGGAGAAATCGAATGGAGATGAAATACAAAACAATGCAAGAATGTAATGGAATAACAGTGGTTCAGGTCGGCCAACACTGTTTTTGCTTGGCCGAATATTTTACTTAGTGTTTAATGTGAGAATCTTTATCTCATGAGTTGTACCATTTTCAACAACCACTTTTTAGATCTAATACAAGGGTATTCATAGTAACTGTAGCTCGAAAACTGTTCATCGGGTTCTATAGTGCGCATTTAATTGATTGGACAGGTGCATTTAATGCGTCGTGCTACCCTATGAGTCTAAGACTGGCAGACCGGCAGGTTAGCTGGCAAAGATGTACTTTCTCATTATTAGGCTACAAGTGGAGTTTATTTTATTGTCTTCTGCTTGACCTATTCGTCCAGATAGGGTTAAAGTCCTTGTCTTGAATTTATATCCTCGTTGCCTCTCTCTCCATGATTCTTCTCTATCGGATGGCCAGTCTGGGACTCCAACTCGGCTCATTGGGTGTGAACTATCTTACTCTCTCTTGTTGGCCTGCTTCTCAACTCAGGGGGTCAACAAAGTCAATATTAACTTGAACGTAAATGGAATAGTCAATTATTTATAGTTTAATAAATTACTCAATTACTTAAATTTTTTAATTTGGATAATTTATACAATAATAAATCTAATTTAGGTAAGAATTGGTCGTTTTCTGTTTTTGCCTCATATGCCTTTACTAATTGAACAACAGGTGCAGAGGCTTGATATTCCATAGAGCAGTGCATGCGAAACCTAATCACATTAGCCAAGAATAGAAATTGGAGTCTGGGAATCAATGGGAAGTTGAAGCACTTCATTTGGAAATGTTGCACTGGAACACTCCCTGTTGAAGTTAAACTAAGAAAAAAAGGCCTTAGACATTGATGTGGGCTATCTGGGATGTGGTGAAGATCCTGAAACAATCGAGCATATTTTTTTCATTGTCACAGAGCAAGAAGACTTTGGGAGATAGGGCCGATTCAGTGGGATGGTATTTGTATTGCTGACACCCTTTTTAGTTCTTGGTGTTGGCAGGTGTGCTTAATTGATCATTCCAATGTTGTTGAAGCAAGAATTCAACTCACTACTTATATGCTATGGTGGATCTGAAAATTCAAGAATTTATGGCTTTTCCAGGATACAATTTTTCCGGTTACAGTGGTGGTAAATGCAATTCTTAAAGATTAGCTTGAGTTTGCATCCTTGAGGAGCCAACAACAGTCTTCTTCGGGCTCTTGATTTCTGCTGGTGTTTGCTGTTTGGGCTTCTGTTTAGCTAGTTGTTGTGTGCTTTCCTTTTGTTGTGCTTATGTTCTGGTGGTGTTTGGGTGAGGAGCTCTCAGCTGGGCATTTTGCAGTGGTTGAGCTCTCCTCTCCCATTCTTGTTGCTACTTGTTTGTTATTGGTGTTCACGGGTGTTGTCTTCAGTGGTCTGTCTCCTAGTTTGTGTTGGCTCCCTTGCCTTAGGCTATGTTTGGTAGACAAATAAGCTAGTTTATAGCTTATTTGGTTAGCTTATAAGCTCCTTGTTTTCAAATAAGCTCTGTTTGGTAAGACGAGCTTTTGTAAAAAGCTCGAGCTTATTTGATAAGTTTCTTTGGGTAGCTTTTCAAATAAGCTAGTTGAAATTTTTATTTCAGCTAGCTTATTAGCTAATTTTACCAAACACTTTTATCATATAAGCTAGCTTTTCAGCTATAAGTAATAAGCTATAAGCTAAAAAATTACTGATAAGCTATAAGCTAACTTATCAGCTATCAACTAGTTTTACCAAACATAGCCTTAATTGCGGGTTTTCTAGGTCGCTTTTAGCGTGCCCTCCCAATTTGTATTTTCCGGCTTTAGTGGTGTGTCTGTTGTATTCTAACTTTATTCCCGTTTAAGTTGCTATATATATCTCTATATCGTTTCNACTTATTATTCATATAGATTTTTAAATATATGATAAAATTTTATCAAAATAATTATTTTAATGAATCACATTGTAGTCAGATCGAATTCCTGAATAAAAATTTTAAAATGACACTTATTTTGAAATTAATATAAAGTAATTTATTATCATGTATGTACACCGTACGAGTTGTGTCCTAATTTTAAATACACATGTTTTATGTAATTTTGCACAATATAAATTTCATATAACATTTTAAATAAATTAATACAAATAAATTGTATTACATATTGATTCCATATTTTAATTTATAAATATTATTTAATGAGTTTTTTAACATTTTGCACAATATTAATAAATATTTCTTATTCATGCATCCATGGTATTGTTTGGTGAAGTATAGTTTATTTTTTTATTTTTTTTTTATTTTTTTGATAATAATGGAGTATCATTTTTAAATGTAGTGGATAGTGGATGTACGTACTATCTATATTTTATATCATAACTTTTTCATATTTTATAATCTTTTCATATTTTATAATTAGCGTTTTTTGCGTGGGGGAAGGAAATAGGGAAGAACATAAACAGTCCCCACTTAGAATTCAGAAACATAAAGAATCATTTTGTCGAAGAAACCTCCGCCTCCAACATCTCAAGTTCTGTTCCCGCAAATTACATCGCATTTATACATTCGTTTCTAGTCCATTGCTGATTCTTCGGGCCGATTAGTATTCTTGAATTAGTCTGTATTTTTTTTATATATAAAAAATTGCTGATATTTATCACCAACTCTACGCACCAATGGAATCTTTGCTTATCAGTTTTTCCCCCAAATTTCGCTTCTTCGCTTCTCTATTGCCTGGTAACATGAATTTTGATTTCGGGCTTGTCCTGAATTTATCAGTTTCCAAATCTTGACATATTTTCAGCCTTTTTTTTTTTCTGCATNTATAAAAAAAAAAAAAGTTAGAGGAAGTCAATTGTTACAAGGGTCTGGTTCTTGAGGTGTTAGAAAGCCTTGAAACGATGGGTGGGAGTATAAAAATACAGTCTTTGGAGTTCAAATCCAATTATTATGGTGTCCCATCAAGTTCTCAACTGGGGCTCCAGTGGAATCTCCATGACTGCTGCTCCTACCCAGGAGGCGGCTTGTTCGCGTCCGTGAGCCAAATGGGGAACGATGAAAATGGCGGCTTTAAAATACCGTGCGCCGACTTGCTCGTGAAATGCGTTTCGCAGCCCGAGGGCTTCAAGAGTCTAGGTACGACGTCCGAGGAGGAGAAGGGGCTAGCGGGTGAGAAGAAGAAAAACGGGCTCAGGATTAAGATTAAGATTTCAAATCCTTCATTGAGGAGGTTGATAAGCGGGGGCATAGCTGGGGCCGTCTCGAGAACAGCTGTAGCCCCACTGGAGACAATTAGGACTCATTTAATGGTGGGAAGCAGCGGACACTCGACAATGGAGGTTTTTCGTGATATCATGAGTACGGAAGGTTGGCCTGGGTTGTTCAGGGGAAATTTCGTGAATGTGATTCGTGTTGCGCCTAGCAAAGCCATTGAGGTGAGGTGAACAAGAGTTAGAGATTTTTTATTTTTTATTTTTTTTTATTATTATTATTATTTTTTTTATTTGTGGGCTTAGTCTGTGTTTTTATGGTTTTCTGCCTGTTCACTTTGAATTTGTACTGTTTTCTTCATGTTTGGTACTGTCCGTTATTTGACTCTTGAGTGTGGGGGAATTGGCTTTGGATTGTTATGATATGTGTGAGCATTTTCATCTTTCTGTTGACAGACTGAATTAGGTGGAGACTGGAGAATTTTCTTACACAATGCAGTTTCATTTGTTCTATGTTTCTTTTTGGAAATTTTAACTTAAATTGGAGGATATGCTTACTGATGATGCTATTACCTTGTACTTCTGGTGGATTATTTTACTCACGATGCTGACTTACTTTTATAGTAGTCTATGCATAACCTCAAGGCTCTAGCATTTCCCTGTGATAGTTTCTATGTACATGCTTGAATAGCAACCCTTTTTGTTTCTTTCTTTCCTTCTTTCCTTTTTTCGTTTTCTTTTCTGATGACCTCTGTGTTTGCCTAATTAGAGGAAAGAGTGAGCATGAAATATGTTTACTGCACAGGTAATTTGTTTTAGCTCTTGTCGCACGCACAAATACATACGAATGATTGGGAAATGAATTTCTTTTCTACTTATCTAGTTTTCTCCCTTGGCAAAATATTTTTACCTTACATGAGGCAAAATATGATGTTAGTGCTCTTTATCAAGTTATTCATAACGAATAAATGCCCGATTATAGATATTCTTTGTTGTAGTGATACTATAGCCATTCAATGTAGATAGGTTCTAGCTAATGAAACATTCAAGGCTAGGCATTTTATTTTGAACCAAGTTTTAGCGTCATCAGTCATCATCCTACTTGATGATTCATGCTTTTTCTCAAAAAACAGATAACTTGGTAAATTCTGAATGGAGAAAAGCTAGAGATAGAAAGCAATCAATGTCTCGATTGTATTATTAGTTTATTACTACTCCCTACATTTCCTTAGTGCTTTACATTTTTCCTTGCAGTTATTTGTTTACGACACGGTGAACAAGAACTTGTCACCAAAAACCGACGAAACCCCCAAATTACCCTTCCCTCCCTCATTGATTGCCGGAGCCTGCGCTGGAGTGAGCTCAACTCTCGTCACATACCCTCTCGAGTTAGTCAAGACTAGATTGACCATACAGGTAAGGCTACGTTTAGTAAAACTAACTGATAAGATAGTTGATAAGCTAGCTTATAGCTTATATGTAATTTTCGAACTTATAGCTTATAATTTATAGCTGAAAAACTAACTTATATGATAAAAGTATTTGGTAAAATTAGTTGATAAGCTCGCTGAAATAAAAATTTCAAGAGCTTATTTGAAAAACTAACTAAAGAAGTTTATGAGATAAGCTCAAGCTTTTTAAAAAAACACGTCCTACCAAACGAGGCTTATTTGTATACAGAAAGCTTATAAGCTATATGCTAGCTTATTTAGCTACCAAACATAGCGTAAACACACACTAAACGGGAAAAGAGAGAGAAAAAACAAAAAGAAACTAAACAACTTATTCTTTTGTTTTCTGGTCCGCTTATTTTTCAGAGAAACGTCTACAACGGCTTGTTCGATGCCTTTGTGAAAATTCTGCAAGAAGGTGGGCCCCGGGAGCTCTACAGAGGCCTCGCCCCAAGTCTCATAGGCGTAATTCCTTATGCAGCCACAAACTACTGTGCATACGACACACTGCGCAAAGTGTACCGAAAAGTGTTCAAACAGAAAAAAATCGGCAACATAGAGACCCTTCTGATTGGGTCGGCTGCTGGGGCCATCTCGAGCTCGGCCACTTTTCCGCTAGAGGTGGCCCGCAAGCACATGCAGGTGGGGGCCGTTAGTGGGCGCCAGGTGTACAACAATGTGGTTCATGCGCTTGTGAGTATACTCGAGAAAGAAGGGCTGGGTGGGTTGTACAAGGGGCTTGGACCGAGTTGCCTGAAGTTGGTGCCGGCGGCGGGGATCTCGTTCATGTGTTACGAGGCCATGAAGAGGGTTTTGGTAGACAGAGATGATGATGATGATGAATAAATTGGGAGATAG